CGGCAACACAACTACCTGACATAGCAGCCACTCCAAGTTTTGCACCATCTGCAAACTTGCCGAGTGCACTCTCTTCCATCTTCCAGGACATTAATGAAGACGCTAAATAACACTGGCACCAGTATCAACTCCTGGAACACATCACTAGTGACCTGCATCCAGCTGGACTTTGTGCCACTAATCACACCACTTCAAGCTCAGCACCTCAGCCAGGTTTTAGTCCATCTCACTGCTCACTTATCTAGTCCATACTTCATCAGTTTGTCTACAAGGATGTTACAGCAGTACAGCAGACAGTGCTGAAAGCCTTGCTAAAGCAAAGATAAATAATATCCACTTCTCCCCTTGTCCACCAAGCTAGCATTCTACAATGAAATGACTATCAAGTTGGTCAAGCATGACTCTCCCTTCAAAAATCCAAGCTGACTACTCCCAAACCCATCTTGTCTTCAATACGTTTGGATTTAGTTTCCAGGGTTATTTGTTTTATTACCTCCTCAGGGATCAAGGGGAGGCTGACCAGCCTATACTTCCCATATTCTCACTTACTGAAGACAGAAGTAACACTTGACCTCTGAAGTCCTCAGCAATCTCCCCTGACTGCCATGACCTTTCAAAGACAGACTGAGGGTGGCCAAAGAGGGTGACCTCACAACAACACTGGCCACTCCCTCAGCACTGGTGGGTGCATCCCATCAGGACTCATGGACTTGTGTATCTACAACTTGTTTAAATGTTCCCTAACATGATACTCTTACATGGAAGGTAAGCCTTCATGGCTCCAGACTCTCCTACTGGTCTCAGGAGCCTGGGATTTCTGAAGACAAACTTTACAATGAAGACCAAGGCAAAGGCAGCATTAGTATCTTGGTCTTTCCCATGTCCTTTGCCATCAAGTCTCCTGCCCCAGCCAGCAGCAGGCCCATGTTTTCTGTCATGATACATTTGCTGTTGATATACTTGTAGAAGGCCGTCTTGTTGCCATTCATGTTCCACATCAAACTCAACTCCAGGTGAGCTTTGACTTTCCTAACCCCACCCCTGCATGCTCAGTTTCTCCATATTCCTCCTGGGTGACCTGACCCTGCTTCCACCTCTTGCATACTTCCTTTCTATGTTTGAGCTTAGTCATGAGCTCCATGTTCATCCATGTACATCAGGATGGATTGTTCCTGAGCTTGGAGGAGGTGATCCCTGAAAGTCAACCAGCTGTCCAAGACCCCTCTTCTCCCCAAGACCACATCCCATAGGATTCTTCCGAGCTGAGGCCTGATCAGGCCAAAGTCTGCTCTCCTGAAGTCTAGGATCGTGAACCTGCTACTTGCCTCGTTTCTCTTCTCTCAGGATCCTGAACTCTACCACCTGATGGTCACCGCAGCAAAGGCTTCGCAACCTTCACATCACCAACCAGTTCTTCCTTGTTCACAAGTCTGAGGTCCAGCAGAGCACCTCTCCTCATCAGCTCCTCAATCACCTGTGTTAGGAAACTGCCATGAAAGCACACAAAAAATCTCAAGGGATTGCTGGTGCCCTGCTGTGTTGTCTCTTCAAAAGATACTGGGGTAGCTGAAGTACCCTATAGGACGAGCGCCTGGAAACCTGAGGATTCTTCCCGTTGTCTAAAGAAGGCCTTATCTTCTACTTCTTCATGAAGGCTATCTACAACAGAAAACAACAACAACATCACCCACGCTGCTCTGCCCTCTAGTCCTCACCCATAAGCTCTCAGATGGTTCATTATTCATCTCATAGCAGACCTCCATGCATCCCCGCTGCTCTTTCACTTAAGAGCAAGTCCCCCATCCTCACTATCCCACCAGTCCTTCTAAAGGGCCTGCATCCATCCATGGCAGCACTCCAATCGTACGAACTACCCCATCGCGTCTTTGTTATCCCAATGAAATCGTAGCTCTGCAACTTCATACAGCCCCCTACTTTCCCATTTTCTCCCCATGCTGCATGCATTAGCGTACAGGCAGGTCAGAGATGCACCCAAGTGTGCCAGTTTCCCCAGAGAGATACAAAAGCTTCTCCCCCATAATGCTGGCCTCATTATCTGTGTACAGGTATTTCCTTGTTTGTGTTTATACACTTGTGTGGGTCCCCTTCTGCCCTGTTTAGCTGTTTCCAAGGACTCCTCTCCATATCACCCCGCGTCCTTTGCTTACCAACTCAGTCCACCACTTTTTCCTCTTGATTCGTAAGTCATCATCTCCTTCCTCTCTCAGTCCTAGTCTAAAGGTCTCCATATCAGTTTGGCCAGCCCGTTGGCAAAGATGCTTTTGCCCCACTTGGTCAGGTGGGTGCTGTCCCTTCCTAGCAGTCCTTGAACCTCAGAGAGGGTTCCTATGGTCATACAAGCCAAGTCCCTGCTGTCAACACCTGCTGTGCAACCAGCTGTTAACCTACAGAATCCAGCACTCTTCATCAGCCTTCCCCCTCCTCACCAGCAATATCTTCTTTGGTCTTAAATATTGTACTAAGGAAAGTTCTTCTATTTTCTCCCTTCAATGCTTTTTTTTTTTTCATTTAAATAAATCAGAAATTGTGTCAATAATGCTTTTATGAAAAATTATAGGCAGATGAACTGCTATAGGTGATGTCCAGTATCATCCTTAATAAAACATGACTGAGGGAGATTAAGATAGCATAAATTACCTTTTAGCATGTGTAAACACTCTCAATATGTTATCACACATCTCAAAGTGTCAAGTATCATCTAGAAGTGCTTGTTACTTTTTT